ATAGAAGAACCAAATTTTGTTAGAAACATTAGGAATGCACTTGAATTTTCTCACAAAGTTGAGAAATTTCTATTCCCCCCATTTCACAAATGGTTCTAAATTTTCAAAGCACCACAATTTATAGACAATAATTAAAATTTTCAATCTATTAAGGGAATTCGGGTCTATAATTCCCCTAATATTCCATATTAGGATGTTAATCATCAAACCTAAGTTTACCTCTCTTAGAAGATCTAGGGAGGTGAGCCTTTCTATCTCTATCTAAGTAATAATGAAAGTCCCTGTCAACAATGCTCCTTGTCTCCAAGTGCTTCAAATCATTATTTCCTCTCTTTTTTCTCTTGTTTTTTGCACTAACCATTCATCCTCAATATCCTATCTAGCAGTGGTCAAAGCCTCTTCCACAGGGGTTGTGGCTTGATCTACCAATGCAGATTTCAATTCATCAAGAGCCTCCAATCTTCTACCCTCCTCCTCAGCAAGCAATTCCAAGTTAGAGATAGTTATATCCTCAACATTTTTAGGATTCAACCCAATATCCCCTGCCAAATCGCCCTTTTCCCCTAATACATTCACCTAACTAATCACCATAGGCACCTCAGTATTGTTTGTCAGATCAACCACAAGATGATTTTCCTTATCAGTAATCCACCACATTCTCTCTATCAATAACTTGTCTATTATGCTCATTAATCTCATGCTCTTCATACATATTAGGGGGAGGCTTTTCAAACTCAAGATGTAGTTTATAGCAATTCTCAAGTAAATGTCCAAATATGTGACAATATGAGTAATAATGAGAGTGTTGTTCCACTACAACCTGTTGTCAATAACCGTTGTGAGCCGAACCATCCATGTTTATTTAGCAAACGCATACGTGATGTCTCTGTCAATCAAAATTTTAGCTGCCAAAGACTTAGTAAGGTTGAATGTAGGAATGTCCATTTTCATAGGATGACTAAAGATAACAACAAGTGAAAATAGAACTTCATGGTTGAATAGATGCAATTTCAAGCCAGGGAACATAAACCAGATGGGTACAATTGGCGGGTCAATTTGAGGATTAAAATCGCCTAACCATTTCAAAAATTTTATTGTTTTATTCTCAATTTAAAGTATTTCTTTGCAAAGATCCAAGCATAGTCCTCCTCAAAGCTTAATTGTATCAAGGTGTGTCCCCCATCCAAAAATCTTATTTTCCACTCACTAAGTATTTTCAAGCGGTCGAAAGCCTACCATATTAGCTTCATTTTTGGATGTCCATACACAACCCACCTGGGCAAATTTATAGCTAGAAGTGAGCGCATTGGTATCATTTTTAGATATAAAAAAGTGCAGGTTTTCCACTCTTCCTTCCCCCCTTCCTTGTAAACTATTGATCCTCAATGCCTTCTAAAGTATCATGATATGATTGCAGAAAAAACATAGTTCTTTGAGTTAATTCTTCCGGCACCCACAACCACTTCTGCAAAAAATTCCTCCATCTGAACTCAGTAAAAAGTGGCCAAGCTAACCTCAAAGTCGGAAAACTCCGCCAAGCATCTTTTGAAGCGCGTGGATTAGGAAAGCCAAACCGTAATAAATATTTTATATAAGCCAAAACAAGTCGTTGTTTAAATTAAGTAATTGCGACCTGTGAATTTGAATGTACAACTTTGAGCATCTCACCATTGATCTGAATTAGCAAACCAAACCCTGAATAATTACCAGCGAAGAATGATCAAAGAAGCTATGCATAAATATACAAGGCTCCAATCAGATTATTATCACAGGATCAAGATCATAAACACGCATGAAACTCTAGCTCTACAAATAAGATAGCTAATAATTACCTTATCCTTCATCATAGATGCCCTTCTTGACTAGTTTAGAAGAAAGAAAAGAAATAATTGCCAAACTAAAAGTCTAAATGACAAAAAAAACCACTACTTTACAAGTGAGTTGTGTAGAAGACAAATGCTTGCAAAACAAAATCAACCTGAAAGTACTCAATATATATATATACATTTACATATACATTTACATATACATATACATATATATATACATATATATAGATATATATACATATTTATACATCTATATATACATCTATATATATACATATTTATACGTATGTATATACATCTATATATATACATACATATACGTATGTATATATACATCTATATATATATACATACATATACGTATGTATATAATATATATATATATATATATATATATATATATATAT